AAAATTCAAAGCAATCGGTTTAGAAGTTACGGCGTGAAAGCGGAACAAACAGACAAACAAACAAACTCACTTTACGATTTATAATATAAGTAAGGATTTGTATGTGTATATTGGACGTATATCAGACTGAACCTTCTAATCATTACCTGCCAAATGACAAAGTGTCAAGGATGTCTTGCACGTCTCACGTTAGAGTATTCTCTGAGGCACACAGCGTTCGTTTAGTGTATAAATGTACAGCTAATCTGATACGTGCGTAATCCTACGAGAAACGTTGTATACGTGTTACTTGTTAACATAAATTACTTTATATTTATCATTGTGTTATATGTTTAAAGCTTAGTTTAATATTTTTTTTTATAGTATAAGCCGGTAAACGAGCAGACGGATCACCTGATGGTAAGCAATCGGCGTCGCGTTACCGGCCTTTTGGGAATTTGAGGACTGTGGAGGATTGTGGAGGATTCGGGGATTCGGGAGGGGGGAATTGGGCCTCTGGTAACCTCACTCACACGACGAAACACAACGCAAGCGTTGTTACACGTCGGTTTTCTGTGAGACCGTGGTATCACTCCGGTCGAGCCGACCCATTCGTGCCGATGCATGGCTTTCCCACACTTGTAAAAGATGTTATGTTATTTTTGTTTTTTAAAAACGTTGCCCCACCCTAGAATTTTTTCCGTGGATGCGTTTACAAACATACAAGTTTGATGTTTGAACACATGATACCCAGACCCGGAACATTAATTTGTGGATCACACAAAGAGTTGTTTCGTACGGAATTTGAAACCGCGACACTTTGCGCGGCAGCCGGTTGCCCAGCCACTGTGCCTACCGTGTCGTCAATTGTATTGATGTTTGTTTTTGTTGTATGGAATCGATTATTATGTTTTTAAAATGTTATAGTTAGTACTTCTGAGCTGTGGACTACTTAACGGATTACCAGGGTTCCAGCTAGGGGTAGAAGTAGGTACGGGGAAGTTTTCAGTCAGTAAGAGTCTGACACTCCCTCTCGCCAACCCAATGCGGGAGAAGTCAATGGATGATTTTCTGTTGTGTAATAACATAACATCATCACGCCTTTTATCCCCGAAGGGGTAGGCAGAGGTGCACATTATGCCACTGTACAATGTAACACCCACTTTTCACTATTTATGTTATGAGTCCCATGTAATAGGGGGTGAGCCTATTGTGTGTATGTTCTGCGCGTAAGTGTGTAGTAACCAGAGGGCCAAGCACGCAATAACTAGCGCATTCGTATCGTAACAGTATCGAGCGAGTTAAGCGTTCTGATTGGTTGGTTCACTTGAGCCGGCCAATCAGAGCGCCGATCCCGAGATTTTCAACGTCCTTGATATGAAATAAAATGATAAAAAGTCATGTCTGTAAACTCTATAAAGCAAATGCACTCATACGTTATCACGTTGTACCAACGGGTGAATAGTGAGAAAATCTGTTGCATGTCAAAACAAAATTCTAAAGCCACATTTCGCTTTGTTTATAAAGTCCTCTCAAGCGTGTCTGACTAATTTCATTCCAGTTCTGCTCTCCACTCCGAAAATTAGCGTCCAACAACTTTATATAAAACTGAATTTTAAACTAAATTATGATATTCTGTCACACGTCCAGTGCTAATTAGAAGTTAAAAATGGTTTAAATAAATTTTGACATTTAATATCTGCAAGAAGAGGTTGCCAAGTCTCATGAAATTGTTAAGTTTGATTTTTTTTTTGTACTTGGCCTTTTTCCAACTTAGTTGTTTTTTTGCACTGTGTGGGTCCATGAAGATTTACTTTATTTTTGTACATATTTTGGTTGCTTCTTAAGTTAGACTCGGTACTAAATGTTCTATAGATAGTAACTGCATGGTGAATTACCTATCTGGAATTAAAAAGTAAATTAAGTGAAACTTTTTGTCAGATTGAATGATTATTTATTTATTTTTTTTTCTTTTTAAAAACGTTGCCCCACACTAGGATTGTCTCCTGTGTCGTGGGTGTGTTTACAAACATACAAGTTCACATACACATGACACCCAGACCCCGAATCTGTGGATCACACAAAGAGTTGTTCCGTGCGGGAATCGAACCCGCGACACATTGCGCAGCAGCCAGTTGCCCAGCCACTGCGAGAACCGTGCAGTCAAAAAAATGATGAAGTTAGAGTTTTTATGATAAATGGTATTTTATACTTATAATATTAATAAAATTTTTATATAAGTATTTAAAACAACACAACCTAACTGGTTACACCCAATGCACATCTCTCAATATAAAACTTATAATTAACATTGTAATAAAATAGCCATATTGATTGCACTTATTAATCAAGTAGAACTAACAACACCAGTTGTTACCTTTATGAACTTCGCCAGTGAGCAACTGAATATGTCTACTTTGTTGTACAACGCTGTTATTTATTTTAATGCCTATAGCTACAGGAGCATATTGACCTGTTTGTGCCAGTGGTGGGGAATTTAAATAGTCTCTGCCTATATAATCATTGTGCGTACCACAGAACATATAAAGACACGTACTATTGTGAAATACAAGTAAATTACGAAGTTGTCGTTGCAAACAAATTGAAATATTTCACGTTGCGTCACTTTTGACTCGACTTAGCGACACTACCGTGCCCCCAGAAAAAATTCAATTAACCTTAAATAGACCTTTTGCAGATGAAAATAAAGTACACAGTCAGATATGAATATATTACAACAATATTTTGAACCAACCCTAGATATAGTGATCATATAATGTTTATTTTATTTATTGAGTTTATTAACAGTCATATTGGTTTTTTTTTACCGTAGCTTTGGTTAGATAACGACGTTTCGTAATTTTAAAAATATAAAAAAGAAACAAGCTTATATGCAGTTTGGCATTTATGGTCATACTAACTAAACCTGTATAAAAAAAATCAGCTCAATCGGTTAAAGATATCTGCTTCAAAGTTGTAAGATTTCATTTCACACACATTCATACAACATAATATATAGATTTTTTTTAAAACGTTGCCCCACATTAGGATTTTGTCCTGTGCCGTGGATGCGTTTACAAACATACAAGTTCACATACACAATGACACCCAGACCCGAAACAACAATTTGTGGATCACACAAAGTGTCAATCGCACCCGTGACACGTTGCACGGCAGCCGGTTGCCCAGCCACCGCACCAACCGTGCCGACAATTATTACAAGTCAAATTGTACATACATTTCTTGTAAAAAAGTAGATGTTACATTTTTCATACTAATATGTGTACTTCTGCCTAAAATTCTACCTGACAGACAGATAGACTTGATTTTTATTTTATGTAGCTACAGCAGTCAGGAGGGCAACCGCATTTTATTTTTAAAAAGTCATTCATTTTAAAAACGACCATTTCATCGTGTGGGATTTGTGTTCCCGAGGTGTTTCATATTTCATTTTATATGTCTTTTTATGATGCTCGAGCGTGTGGAGACTGCTGCCGCACTGACCCCGCTGGGGTCCCTAAGAGGGGTATACAATATTTGACAAAGAGGGGCACGGTTGTCTGATGCAGTAATCTCCAACCCACCTGCCAAGCGTAAAGATTATGGAAAGGCCTCTTGTATGCCCATACTCCTGCATTTTTTTTAAGGCGGTATATCATCGGATCTTTGCTCCCGCCTGGGTGAGGTGGGAGGGAGTGCCAGACTCTTACTGACTAAAAACCACCCCGTTCCTTCTCTTGCACGTCGAGCCGGAGCCCCAGTTACCCGTTAGGTTCTCCGCGACATACTCCAGCAATAGAATTGATATTTAATATATGTGTCGCAGTATGATAGATAAAGCCCTAATATAGTTATATCCCTAGAGCTATAATTATATACCGTTTATTTATATTATTTTAAGTGTAGGTGAGCCATGCTTCGGCACAATGGGCCGGCTCAACCGAAGTGATACCACGGCTTCACAGAAGATCGACGTGAAACAACGCTTGCGTTGTATTTTGTCGTGTGGTGAGGTTACCGGAGGTCCAATTACCCACCCCTCTCCTTCCTCAATCCATGAATCCCCAACAATCCTTAAATTCCTAATCCCATAAGGCCGGTACCGAACTTGGTATGGGCGACGCAGATTGCTTACTATCATGTGATCCGTCTGCTCGTTTACCGGCTTATCCCACTAAGAACATAGTTACATAACTAGGAACTAGGAATATAATTAGTTTTAAAATGGTCCAAGTTAAGTGATATACTTATATTCCTAGATCAAGGTTAGTGAAATAGGTTTACGAGTGTGCGGCGGCTCGCCGCTACTAAAAGATGTGCCTGTAAGAAGCAGAAGTATTCAGTGCTATGTAATTCTAGATGTCACGGTTCCTCTTCTTGTCTTACCTTTAAAGAAACCAAGGTCTCAAGTAGATCTCTCTCTTAGTTGATGAGAAATAGAAATACTGCGACATATGCATGACCATTTGAATATAGCGATATTTGTGACCACAGTATAGATTTTTGGTCAAGATACTTATATAGGAGATTTAAGGTATTCTTACATTTTATAGATGTTATGGAAAAACCAACTCTCAATAAACACAAGGTTCACATAACAATTTAAAAGATAATAGAAGAAAAGGAACCATACAACAAACCTTTAGAGTATAAATTCGTTTAGGCGGCGTCTGCTCTGTGTACAGCTCGTGGCGTCATGTAGAATCAATATTCATATGATTAATCGTGTTGGGGACTGATGGATGAGTTCCTAGCTATGAGAAGTTCCTTTCATATTCAAGGCCAAGTTCATATTATTGCTTACTAAGGTTGCTTGAGACAAGAAACGAACATAATAAACTCTGTTTTCTAAATACCAATTTAATTAATTCAAATCGAGATAATTTTAAACGCAACCGGCAATATTATGGATTTTTAAATCTATTGCAATAGAGATTGTTAAGAAATAAAACAGAAAGTGTATAAAAAACTCAAATTTATATATATATATATTAATATCCGCATCCACGAAGATACACTCGTTAACACTTCTTCTTTTTAGATTGTTTTGCGATACATGACTCTAAACCTCCTTTACCACCACTACTCAATTTCAAGGGATCCATATCTGGTGGTGGTTTTTTATCTAGTCCCGTTATTAGGCGTTTCAGTTTCGCAATAGCTAACCCAGGATTCAATCCCTTAGGGCAAGCTAGAGCACAATTTAAGATTGTGTGGCACCGGAATGCTTTGAAGTCGTCCCGTAATTCACATAAACGGTTAAAAGTGTCTTCATCTCTAGAGTCAATCACCCATCGGTAAGCGTGCAGCAATGTCGCCGGACCTAGGAATCTGCGCCCATTCCACCAATAGCTGGGGCAAGATGTCGCACAACATGCGCACAACACACACTCATATAATCCTACGAACTTGTGCCAATCGGCATCACTCTGCGCGTACTGAAACTGTCCCATGCTTCGAGGCGTAGACTTCCTTATAAGATATGGCCGGATTGAGTTGTACTGATTTAAGAAATGTGTCATATCCACCACTAGATCTCTGAGGACATACATATGTGGTAGAGGGTGGAGGGTAATGGTTTTAGCCGGTGGAATTGCTGTAATACATGCCAGACAGTTGTGACCTTGGAGACAAACAGCGCACGATCCACAAATACCTTCTCGACAGGATCTTCTGAAGCTAAATGTTGGATCCATGTCTTTGAGTTTGATCATTGCATCAAGGAGCATTGGACCACATTTTGAAACGTCTAGTTCGAAAGTTTGCATCTTTGGGGATTCTTTCGACGCTATACCTCCGTATCGATAGACTTTGAACAGTCTTCGAGGATCAACTTTTTTGGGTGCTCCTGACCCTCCTTTCACTGGTGGACACTTCGCAGAATATCTACGAGAGATGCGAGTAGTTTCATGATGTGCCAGAAGTTTTGGCGACCATGATTTCAATATAGGATTAAAAAGTGATTTAAAGTAAAAAACACAATTGTAAATACGAGAAGTGGCCATATAATTTGTTTTGTAAAAAAACGGAAAAATGTCGATTGAATAAAAACGTCATTAGACCTAGTGTTTATTGTTTTTGACAACTTGTAAATTGACTTTTTTTCAGTCAGACACAAAATGTCCGATAATTTATTAGCAACCTTTTTAATGTTCGAATAATTAGATTTATGGTTTATGTTTAGTTATCTACATAGGACGTGAGGTATTTTTTATGAATCACTTTCACATACATATATCTGAAAAACGGACTGAAACTTATTTCTACACATGTATCTATATAGGAAACAGGGAGGGATCTTGAAATAGAAACAAACTAGACAGTTTAGGTCCGGGTGTGACGTAACACGGCCCATTGTCCGACAGCAGCTTGGAATACCTGTTCTAACAATATTCTCGCATCAACAACCCTGTCCGGGTAGGGTGACTTTACATTTAATAGTAACTAAGGACGGATAAGAAATTTTCCGAACTCCGTTTAAAAAATCTCGTAGTGGCCCGCTTCTCATGCGTGAGGGTGTGGAGTCTATACCTACCAAAGTGACTTTTACTCAGTTTTATAATATTTCTAAGATTATTTAGACACAACTAACATTCGGTGAAGGAAAACTTCGTGAGGAAACCTGCATTTATAATTTTGTATCTATTTAAAATGTAAACAGGAAACATTGGTTCGTGCCGTTAGCAGAAACAATTTACTTACGTACACAGGTCTTGTCGATCCCCTAATACTGTTCGATAGCTTCAGAAATCCATTCGTAACGAATTCTTCCCTTTTTTAATTAAAAAAGTTAATTAACTTTTAGAAAAACATTCTAGAGACATTTAATTTCGGCACGGTCAACGCTGCTTTAGGCGAGTCCGTGATATTTCTTTATTTTTTTTACGAAAATTGGTTATTTTCTACCCTTTGAGGTCGTTCAATTATGCTCTGAAATCGGGTTAGCATTTTAAAGTGATTAATTCTTTTGAAATCTGTGTATTTGAACGTTAAAATAATATTAAAATCAGTGGATTTTAAAAATCACTGGATTTTAATATTATTTCTTCAGAATATTGTCTTATTTGGATGTAATTATTCCATTCACAGGATTTGTATGGAGTTATTCCAAAGGTCTGATGCCAAATATGCAAAGAAACCCCATGAATATTGACAATTCTTTCATAATAAAAACTATCAAATGTCAATTTTATTCTACAGTTACCTGTAGTTTATTGGGCATATTTTTCAATCATCAGTTAATTTCATCAATCAGTTTATTCATTAGATATATTTTAACAGAGGAATAACTTTGAATATTTGACAATTCTTCCATGCTAACAAAAGTCAATTGACAAATGATAATTTTATTTTCACAGGTAATAAATAACTGATGATTGAAAAATAAACCTTTAGTGAAATATGTTACTTTAACAATTTTGATGGTCACCCTACTTCCTACGCTAGAGCTCACCGTCTTTCGCAACATTTTTACAAAGCATCTTCACTGTTTTACTTTTATATTCAAATTGTAGAACACAGTACATACATTATTTATTTTAAAAGAAAACAAATTAAAATAAAAAGAAAAAGAAAAAGGGAATTATAAATCAATTTGAACTTTTTATTTTGTTTCGTGGGTGCTACATACAAAAACATATAATTTTACATACATATCTGATTCGCATCCAGATACATGTTGGCCAAAGAAATGATTGATAGTTGGTAGATATAAATAATTCACTTACTACAACACAACTACGTTTAAAGAAACGACTTCAACTCCCTTTTTAATTAAAGTCGATTAAAATCTCCTCCTAAGTGTTACAAACACTTTTCTAAAAATCGCAACAAAATCGGCTCAGCCGTTCGCGAGATAATTGCGCACAGACATACACGTCAACCTGATAACCTCCTTTATTGAAGTCGGTTTAAGAAAAAAATCCTTCTCTTTCTGTGATGAATCTACCCAATAGCTGAAAATGGAAAATTGAGTCAAACTATAATTTCACTACACGATGTTATTTTAAAACAGACAGTAGAGTCCCCTACACAGATATAATACTTTTAATATTTCTGTGGTCCCCTAAGATCAGAAAAGGAGGATTCTCCGACCAGGCGAGGTGTTCGTGCCTGGCGGGCTTTCTGCTCAACATTTGTTCGTTGTGATTTTCAATCCGTGTTAAATTCGCATATAAACTTCATACGTGCTACGTAGGATTTTATGACGTCAGCCATAGATTGGTGTTCATCTCGGAGTTATATATCTATGATCTCGGAACAATACTTTAGTTATTGTTCCGAGGTGTTCATAGATAGTCTATGTGCGAGAGCTGTCATTTGACAAGTGACATGTCATGTGTTGCCAAATTACTTAAAAGAGTTTTAAACGATCAATCGATTAAATGTCACGTCTTAGTCGATTATACATAGATATTATATTTAATCGTACTCTTTGCATTTTATTGTCTATTATTAAAAACTTTATTGTATTTTACACTGATATGATAATCTATGGTATATCAAATTCACGTTTATGCCGGAATACTGAAACGTTACTCAATTTTAAGTCGTGCTCAAATATCGTGCCGTCTCTGTCATTTTACAAAGAATAAGTGGTGACAAAACTATACTTAAGCGCTACTTAAAATTGAGTAGCGTTTCAGTATTCCCACAAAAGATGGCTGCGTGTAAAAAGTAGTTGGATACCTACGTATAAAAAGGAATCCTCCATTTTATTAGGCTCTTTGTTCATCATATTTTTATTATTGGGGTCTGGTATATTGTATATTTTGTATAAGATAATAAGGGAAAGTTCAAACAAAGGAATATTTTTACGGGAAAACGCCACTTCATGATAAAGAGAAAATATTTGGGAGATCATAATTCGGTTCAGACTTTTTGAACATTTTGTATCAAAAGGTATTTTTCAAATTCATATACAGACCTCTTGATACACAAATATTTGTTTTGAATTCTATTACGTACTTATTATACATACAGTCAACTCAGTTATTTGGTAAAATTTGTAGGTACTTACGAAAATAATACATAGTTTCGTTAAAATATCCCTAGGGATATAATTATATACCGTTTATTTATGTTATTTTAAGTGTCGGAGAGCCATGCTTCGGCACGAATGGGTCGATTCGACCGGAGTGATACCACTGCCTTACAGTAAACCTTATGTGAAACAACACTTGCGTTGTGTTTCGTCGTGTGAGTGAGGTTATCAGACGCCCAATTACCCTTCTTCCGAATTTCCCCAATCCCCGAATCCCCAATAATCCTCAAATTCCCAATCCCAAAAGGCTGGTATCGCACTTGTAACACCTCTGGTGTTTCGGGTGAACAAGGGGGGCGCCGATTGCTTACCATCAGGAGATCCGTCTGTTAGTTTACCGGCTTATTCCATAAAAAAACTGTCTTTATACTGAGTTAGTCTTTATTTTCTTATCTGCGTACTAAATAACGGGCAGACTGTACATACAATAGAGATAATGATAGATTTCTCCGAGTTTTCATCGAATTTATAGAAACTAAGTACTTTAGAGTCTAAAGTAAGTAATTCCAATTAAGTAACTTACCTGGAATCACTGGATTGTCATTTACAAGATTATTATTAAGTAAAATCTATTTCAAAATGGCGACAGTATGAGCTTCTAACACATAATATAATTGTGTTTTGTCTCTGATAAATGCTTAAACAGGTAATCATTAATGCGCGACATAAGACAATGCTTACTTGTCAGTTTAAAAGGATTAAGGGACGGGCAGAGAGCCTGGTTTTGAAATTAAATGCGGTTGAATTTGCCTTTATACTTAATACTTCATTTGTTGTTATTTTAGGTTGTGAAGTTGTGATAGCTTATGAATGGTTTGAGTCGTAAGTTTTTATATATTATTTGGATTTTAGAGTTTCTTTGTTATAAAAGTGGGTGTCCTTCAAGGCCCGAGTGAATAGGTTGCTTATGGGACGACGTGCTCTATCGTAGACCGCATCATCGCTTACCACCAGGCTAGATAGTGGTCAAATGTCGGCCCATCAAATCTATATATTTAAAAAAACCTACTGTCTGATCAGAGTGTTTTCAGTGGAGAGTTTTTTGTATGATTTTATATTATGTGTTAGTAACAAACACATTTTGATAAAGGTTTTTAAAAAAATTGAGACTGTCTTTGCTCAAGACTGAGAGGTATAAAAAAAATGTGTAACCATGAATTTTAGGCGATTTTTTTTATTTTGAATACAAGTAAGAGACCATGCATTGTACTTGAAAAACTGTAACATTGTACACTATTGTTTTTTCTGTATGTGTCCAATAAAGTATAAGTGTGGGAGAGCCATCCTTCGGCACGAATGGGCCGGCTCGACCGGATTGATACCACGGCCTCACAGAAAACCGACGTACAATGCCGCTTGCATTGTGTTGCATCGTGTGAGTGAGGTTACCGGATGCCCAATTACCCCCCTAGTCTCCATAATCCCCGAATCCTCCACAATCCGCAAATTCACAATTCCCAAAAGGCCGGTAACGCACTTGTAACGCCTTGGTGTCCATGAGCGGCGCCGAATACTTACCATCAGGTGATCCGTTTGCTCGTTTACCAGCGTATGTTACATAAAAAAAATAAGAGCTTCTCATTAAAATATTCAAAAAAAAAAAAATTAAAAAACAGTTCCTGACAGCAGTTTCGCTCACGTTCCCGTGAAATAAAAATAGCCTATGTATTTTATTTTAATCTAATAAAAAATAGTATGTATTTTATTTTAATCTAATAAAAAATAATAGAAAATAGTATATATTTTATTTTAATCTAATAAAATATAATAGAAAATGGTATGTATTTTATTTTAATCTAATAAAAAATAATTGAAAATGGTATGTATTTTATTTTAATCTAATAAAAAATTATACAAAATAGTTTGTATTTTAGACCATAACCTACCTATGTACCAAATTTCATTCCTATCCCTGCAACCGTTTGAACCCGAATGAGTAACAAACAAGAAGTATACAAACTGTTCGCATTTATAAACTTTGTATATAGAAATTGTATTTATGTTATAACTTTCGTGATGCATACAAATTTAATCCTGCCTCATTAGCTTAGTGTTCGCAAGTGTGATTGCCGAATAAGGGGTCTCGGGTTCAATTCCCGAGTCGGGCAAAGTATTATTGGGTTTTTTAAGAATCTCAGTAGTAGCACGGAATCTGGAAATGTGCCCGGTATATGGCAATAGGCTCACCCCCTATTACATGGGACTCGTAATATAAATAGTGAAAAGTGGGTGTTACATTGTACAGTGGCATTAAGTGCTGTAATGTGCTCCTCTGCCTACCCCTTCGGGGATAAGAGGCGTGATGCTACGTTACAAATGTAATTACCTATTATGATTTTCAGTTAGCTTAAAACTAGCCGAGTTCCTCGTCAAATAGTTACGTGTGTAAGCCGAAAAACATAATTATTAATTAAAAAAAAAATATGTTTGGAAACGCACGTTTAACAAAAATTGTAGGACACTTCTTCTGCATCATGTAAATAATACTAACGAAAGGTCAAACGCAAAAGTTTGTAGTAGTAATATTAATTTCAAGTCAAGTGAAGTAAGAACTAAGTTTACAAAGTGTTCAGAAAATACTGAACAACTTAAATAACTTTAACGTTCACTTCTGAATCGCATCTTGTTGCCGTTTCAATTAATATTTTGTCATAGGGCTGCCAAAACTGATAACTTCCGTACTTTTACTCGACTTCAAAAATGGAGGAGGATTTATCCAACTGCTTTTAGGTTGTGTAATGTATAGGGTGTTTTGTGCCAAATAAATAAATCAGGACCCTAATTGTTAATACTCCGCTGTTCGTTCGCTTCTCTTTTCTATAGGATAAGCTGGTAAACGAGCAGACCAATCACCTCATGGTAAGCAATTGGCGTCGCCTATGGACAATTTAAACACCAGGGACGTTACAAGTGCGTTGCTGGCATTTTGGGGTTAGGAATTTGAGGATTGTTGGGGATTCCGGGATTCGAGATATTGAGGAGAGGAATAATTGGACCTTCGGGACTCTCTGACTGTCACCGGCTGTGTCTCACGAACGGCGCGCGGCGTTTACTAGACAGTTGTGATTTTTATTCGTATGTCTGTTGCCATAATAACAACTCTTTATACGTGAGTTCGTCCGACCTTGAAATCAAAACCAATACATAGATCTATCGGAGTCGCGGAGAATCTAACGGGCAACCGGGGTCCGGCTTGAAGTGCAGGAGAAGGAACGGGGTGGTTTTTAGTCAGTAAGAGTCTGACACTCCCTCTCGCCTCACCCAGGCGGAAGCAGTCATTCGATGATTTTCCCCCCTTAAAAAAACAATACTTAGATCTAGACAATAATGCATAGCAATAATCATAAACCGAAACTAAGACAATATCTATTATGCTTTCTGTTTATCCACCGTTACAAACGCTAGACGTTCAACACGTCTAAGGAAGTGTACTATTGTATGGACAACCTCATATCAATGTGGCAATTACATATATCAATTGATTCTCAGCCTTACCACTTTTGTGATAAAGTCGATAATGGTTTGACGATGTTAGTGGTTAGTGGTAGTGTTAGTGGTATTATGGTACAATATGATTCGTCGACCATAGAATGGTCATTCCAACGTATCAGTACGGTCAACGAAGCCTGAGGCATGCTGGTTGTACCATCATTACGGGATATTGATCTTAATGATACATGTGTTTACGAGCGTGAATGCATTGGCAATGTTTTGATAAGGGAATGGGGTAAGTTAGTTTCGCCAGTTGCGTTTCCACTGTCAAGTCGTTGATGGAAACAATAGTTTGTATAAACATGTTCATATTCATTCATGTTCGTGTGTAATCTATAAGGCGGTGGCAACAGAAAAACAAAGAAAAAAAAAGCTGTCACCCTACCGGGTGGTGTGGCGACATGCGGCACAAAATGGTACTAATAACTACATAGTTTTCTATTAACCCTCTGAGTACCGTCATTATAGACACAATTAAAGAACAATAGGTTTTTATTTTTAAGGGGGAAAATCATCGAATGACTGCTCCCGCCTGGGTGAGGCTGAAGGGAGTGTCAGACTCTTACTGACTAAAAACCACCCCGTTCCTTCTCCTGCACGCCGAGCCGGAGCCCCGGTTACCCGTTAGGTTCTAAGAACAATAGGTTGCGGTCACCTCGTGTCCTCGTGGTGTTTGACAGTTTAAAATAGAAACTAATCAAATACCAAGGGAAAATTGCAAGAATTCCTAAGAATAACGCTTACTTTGTCTAACTTAGGTACTGAATCAACTGCCTTGTATTAAACATTTGCACTAGTAACTACTCCATTGCATTTAAGTACTGTTATATTTTTTTCAAGATATTTCAAAATATCAACAGTTACAATAATGTTGAACAACTTAAATTAAACATATACCGGAGGCCCAATTACCCTCCTCTTCCCCCAATCTCCCCAATTTCGGAATTCCCAACGATCCTCAAACTCTTAATCCCCAAAAGGCCGGTAACGCATTTGTAATGCTTTTGGTGTTCCAGGTGTCCATGGGCGACGCCGATTGCTTACCATCAGGTGATCCATATGCTCGTTTACCAGCTTACGCCATTAAAAATAAAATGTCAAATTAATTTAAACAACAATTTAAAAGGTCGAAAATTACAATTGAAGAAAGTTTTGACAGCCCTACACTGGAGATCCCCAAGCCGCCATTACATCCGTAATGGCCAATTCAAAATTTCGAAATTTTAAAGTACCCCTCGTTGCGTCCCTAAATGCAGCTGCACGAAACGACCAAAGAAGACCGGAGTCACAATCAGGGAAAACTCGAAAACTCAAAAACTTGACTCGCAAACCTATTAGCTTTTTCAAAATGTTTGTCAAAAAACCTGTTCCACAAACTAGAATTTATTTTATCAAAATTGTTAGTCGTTTTTGCGTGGTGTTTTTGCAATTTCGCCCCAATAACATTTTTGCTGGTACGAGTATTTTTCAAAATGCTGCTATGGATTTTTCTAGCAAAAATGTATCGAATCAAGAATATAGTAGGCAAGCTGGAAACGCGAAAGCTTCGTTTAAAAATATCCAGGCAGGTTGAGTCAGTGATTGATGAAGTTTTTTAATTAAAAATCTTGCCTTGACAGCCTTTTTGACTTGAATTTTGGAGGGTCCGGTTTGAAGATTGAACCGCCTAAGAATTATTGGGATTTCCGTGATTTGAAATGGTACAAAGTTAAGAATTTTTACCGATGTATATCTATAGAGACACCATGAATAAGATAAAGACCAACGTGGCAAGGGTTGAGGCGTCATGCACACATAAATGTCCTACAGTCGGTGGCGCTGTGTGTTGAGTTGTTCCGTTCCCAATAAAAAGGTTGACCGGACCAATTGCTGATACACACGTCATACTTGTGAACGGGTGCCTTCTGCTGGGTCAGGTCGGCTCTCCCATCTTGTTGGTGGGCTGATTTCATAGAGCCTTCGATATATAAATATTAAATAGATAATTACTAGGTAATTATTATGTAATTTATACTTTTAGTAATAATTATAGATGTGGTTAATTGTAGTGTAAGAAAGAAAAACCATTTATTTCTGCGCAGAACACACATAACATTATTAGAAAATAAAATAAAATAAAAGCTAAAAAATTAAAAATGAAGTCTTGTCCATGGTCCACAGACTTATTATTTTAATGAAATCATAGAATACTTAATATTTAATATTATCTGTGGAACATAGACAAGGAACACCCTACTTAATTCACATCTACTATCCAGTATCTAGTATCTAGTTAAAGTATGACAAGGGCACGTATCTAGAGTCCGTGGAGAATTAATCTGCATTATTAATAAAAAAAAGATAAACACCAAAGTCGTTTTATCTTCCTTGTCATACATGGGATCTGCATAATGTTTTCTTTTTACATTATCAGCGTATCAAAGGTCATTCTATCAACGACAAAAATGAGACTTCAAATCACTACATCTACTACGTGTGGACAGTCATCCATGCGTCAAATAACAATAAATTCGACATCAATTTCTAAGATTTCTAAGGAAAAAGAAATTACGTCAAAAATATTCGATACAAAAACATCTCATCAGTCCCTTCTTGACAATATAACACTTATCCTAATAATATTAACAATCAAAATATCAAAAAGTAAACGTTTTTCAGATCAAAAGAATGAGAAAGAAATGATATTCCGTATAAAAATAAAATAACAAGAGGTTTTTGAAATTTGAAGAGCGATTGTATCTAATATTCGTAATGTTTTTTAACGTCTCAAACGATAATCGCGTTGGTATTGCTTTGATCTCGTTTGATTTTCATTCGCTTTTCGAGGCTGTTTTGCGGAATATGGATTGATGAGGATCTAAAGATATTGTGTGATGTTTAATGAAAAAATGTTAGTCTTTAAAAACACTACAAAATAAAGATATTATTAGACATTATATCGACGTTTTACAGACAGCAGTATTACTGGGTTTAAAAAAAATCTCAGTAGTAGCACGGAGTCTGGAAATGTGCCCGGTATATGGCAATAGGCTCACCCCCTATTACATGGGACTCATAACATAAATAGTGAAAAGTGGGTGTTACTTCTGTGTGCACCTCTGCCTACCCCTTCGGGGATAAAAGGCGTGATGTTATGTTACTACGATGTTCATATGTGACTGGTCGCATTGTGACGACGTATCCGGGTTACCGGGGCTCCGGTTCGAAGTGCAGGGGTAGGAACCGGATGGTTTTTTGGTCAGTAAAAGTCTGACACATCCTCGCGCCTCTCGGAGAAGTCATTCGATGATTTTCCCTGCTTAAAAAAAAACCGGGTTTCGTTTTAATTCATTTTAATGGCAAATGAAATTTTATCAATACCCTATTGAAATACAATACCTTTTTTCTTTACCATTCTAAACCTAACAAAATGGCTTCTACTACCCGACCCGTTCCCAGTATAATTTCATTCAGTGCACGTTCCCTGTCTATTGTAATCGTTTAAATTTTTATGGAATGGACCTCTCCTGGAACCTTAGTTGTTATTGTAACTGCTTAGTAGAAACTGTATTGTGGTATTATACTAATAGGGAATATAATACCGCTTTGGATTTTAAAACAATGGTGATGAGGACTTGCTGTTGTTTGCTCATTACCGTTGTTAAATTTTATTCTTTCTTTTTTGTGGGATATTCCGGCAAACGAGCAAACGGATCACCTGATGGTAAGCAATCATCGAAGCCTATAGAGACCCGAAACACTAAAAGAATTACAAGTTGTGTTTCGACGTGTGAGTCAGATTACCGGTGGCCCAATTATCCCCCTTTCTCTTCCCTAATCTCCGCTAAATGTGATTCCCCAACAATCCTTAAATTCCTAATCCCCAAAAGGCCGGTAACGTACTTGTGGCGCCTCTGGTGTTCAGGGTGTCCATGGGCCGCGCCGATTGCTTAATATCAGGTGCTCCGTCTACTCGTTTACCGGCTTATCACATAAAAAAGTGCGTTGTTGGCCTTTCGAGATTAGGCTTTTAGAACTGGGGATTCCAACTCCCTGGAAAATCAAGTGTTGCTTCACGCCGGTTTTCTTTGAGGCCGTGGTATCACTCCGCTTGAGTCAGCCCATAAGTGCCGAAGTAAGACATTTAAGATCTTCTTCTGGCATTTTTCCTGTTCGTTTTTAGGTTAAACATGGAGTCTTAACTGGAATTGACACCATATTAGGATCTTACTTGAAACAGACTACATATTTGGGCTCTAGAATCCTCTAAGAGTGATCCACATCCTTGATTTGATCCGTTATCAGACTTGTGGCGCTATGATGACTATGATAGTGTTTTTTTCTGTGGGTGTCAATGTCAACTCTAACATCAATATCATAGCGAATGCTTTTATTTTAGCGCCATTTTGTGTACTGTTTCGATTACAAATACTCGTGTGGAGTGCTCGGATTGAAATATGAATTTGCTTTGCATAGTACCAATTGTTTTGTTATTTTCAATGTTAGGGCAATGCCCTGCTATTTGTACAGATGTAGGTGCAGACAATGTAAATTTAAACAAATAATTTCTGAGAAAGCATCTGGCTAGTCTTTGGCTAGACTCTAAGGTTAATGTGTAATGAACTGTATGCTTTTTAATTTATGGTTGATTGTTATTGGTCTTAAGACAGAACATTTAACACGTAGTTGTAAATTATAATTTGTCTAAACTAAAACATAATAATTATAGATATAACTCACCTACTAATTTAAGCGTTGACCTCTAACTATAACTGAATGGAATATATTAGAGTTTGGAGTCATAAATAAATAGTAGGTAGATTGTATAAAATAACGAAAAAATATACAAACAACGAATTATTTCATGCAGTCAGCAGTGTAACAATGGCTTAAAATTCACAATAATCAGTGAGTAAATAATGAGTCCAGCAATATGACCAAAGACATAACATAACCAACAAAAATAGGTGTAAACATTAAAAACTACATAGGTACACCTCCTTCAAGCAACAAAGGCCATGTTATATACAAGACATAAATAAAGAAAAACTTCCTTCAGTTCATCTGTAGTAATATATTTTACACGTCCCAAGAAGGGTGGGCAGAGGCTGACATATTACCCCATTTATAGTATTAGAATAAATATTATATGGAATGAGGCTAGACAGGAGAGCGAGGGTTGGGTTATGAACAGTGACGCCTTGAAGTCAGGGTGACCGATGTACTGAGTGGCGTGTGGGAGCGACGAGATATAAAGCGATGTTTACTGTGTTGAAATAAAGTCTATACAAAAATCTCGCTTGTTGGGAAAGCTATTTGAAAGTCAAGAAAGCAAGACGTCTACATATATTACCACACCTGATCTTCCCACTGGTAGTTAAAGGACCCATGGGAAACATTGTACAGTAGACAGTACTGCTCTCTGATAAACCTGAACGTTTTGAATTGCAATTTTCAACCTTCGGCTGTGGAGTAAAAGTTTAAAGTCATAATTTATACACGATGTTTACCAAGTTTGCAGAATTGTTTTGGGAATACAATGGATATCATCAGTAATGTGGATGTGACTCAGGAAGAAGTTGATTGGTTGTAAAACATAATATGGTAGGCGTTTCATAATTGACGTTTCGACATATCCAGTGAGAACTGAATATCGACCCTAAACTACTATATGATGGCGCGTAGCGTTCCACGCGCGCCTCAAAGAGCCATCAGACCACCACGGATGGAGCCCGATAGGGCTGATGCCGATACAAACAAACAAAAAAATAAACAAATATATTTATTTCCATTTGATACGGAACCGCGGAGAACCTAACGGGTTACCGGGGCTTTGGCTCGAAGTGCATGAGTAGGAACGGGGTGGTTTTTAGTCAGTAAGAGTCTCACACTCCCTCCCGCCTCACCCAGGTGGGGGGAGCAGTCATCGATGATTTTTCCCCCTTAAAAAACTACTATATAAAAAATATTTAATATATAAGAAAAATAATTCGTTTCACAAATTCGCAAAACATAGCATCACATCGCTCTCATTTCTCACAAAGAACTGTGTGACATTCCTTATTGTACTTTCACGTCGCATAAGTGAGACATAACAAATTACGTTCGGCGCCATTTATTTGGCTTGGGGACGCTAAAA